CTATCCATTATGGTAGTGGAAGAACCCTCTAGTTCATCGCCTCTTGTTCTTACCATCTGATTATACTTGCATTATTCTTTATTCAAAAGATTCACAAGTATGCATATACTAAAGAGCACATATATTCAAATAGTTCGCAATGCAAGTAAATCACAAAACATGTAGTACATAATCATTCACTTTAAAACATTTAAGCATGTTCTCGATGTTTTCAAGTTCATACATATTGCATGAATGCATCCCAGATCTTTTCAAGATGCTTATTGCTCATTTGGACAAGTGTGTTGGTTATTAACTCATACTCTGATACCGCTTTGTCATGACCCGAACCTGCCCCTATGGATTAAGGTCATGACCGGCTAGTAATCAAGAGATTACCTATGGCCTCAAACCCATTAAAACATATTTCAACAAAGTTAAGGGGCCAAAATGTAAGCAAACTCAAAAATTTTGTCCATAGAGCTGTGCTTACATGGCACGTCAAAACATTTCACATATACTCATTAATAACCCACATCAAAGGGAAATGGCATGGAATTCTTTTACACATCAGGATCATTCAAGTCAAAGTTAGTCAAACCAAAAGCTTATATACATGGTGATCTAACGCTTTTACCAAAGTGACAAAAAGGAAGACAAAAGAAACAAACAAGTCTCATGCGTGAGACGTTTGCGCTGACTCCTCAAAACTTTGACTTTTTCTCACATACTTCACCGAGGCTGGGTTTGAACATCTCTTGGCTCACCTACATACACATGAATAAGAGTGAGCAAAAGCCCAGTGAATAATATCAAATAAAGAAGATACATGAATGAAATTTGAAACAGATATATCAAACGGCCTTGGGTCCATTCATAGTTCTACCAAGTACATTAAACGGCTACAAACCCAGACATATCAAACGGCCTCTGGCCCACTTCGTCTTTAACAGATGGCCTCGGGCCCAATTCATTCACGTCAAATGGCCTTTGGCCCAATCATTCACATCAAACGCCCTTTGGCCCTATCATTTATGTCAAATGGCCTTTGGTCCAATCATTCATATCCAATGGCCTTTGGCCCAATCAATTATGTCAAACGGCATTTGGCCCAATCGTATGGTATAACGAATATTTGTCCACAAATCAAATTAACAAACTTATGAAACTCAAATAGGAGTAACCAATTGGACAAATAGCATACTTCAAAATATCTTTACTAAGATATTACTCACAGTGTTCTGCCGGTGGATTCGTCCTTGTGCTCAACCCTACATAAATCATAGCACATATTGGGTCACAAGCTATTCAATCCATTCTTAACTTATACACTCCTCTTAGGCCTCTTTGTTATATTCTTAATCCATTCACAATGCTCAATGCATGCCTAAGAGTGCTTAGAAATGAAAGAGAACGGGAAATGAAACACAAAACATCCTTTCAAAATTTCAAAAACCGGGCTCCCTGCTCGAGCATAGCTTTCGCCGCTCGAGCGGACCCCCTTTGGTCTACAAAAGTACTGGTCACTTTATTTTTACGCTGGAGCATGACTTTGGACGCTCGAGCTAGGAGTCACAACATGTAACTGGGCGCTCAAGCGCAACTCCTCCCGCTTGAGCGGACATTCATGTTTGCAAAACTACTTGGAGCTCAATTCCTCCGCTTGAGCGTCACTTCCGCAGCTCGAGTGGACAAGTCAAATTCTGGGTTTTCCAGAACTCTGTTTGAGCTTTAAACTTGGTTCCAATCAATGCAATTCATATCATAAAGCTCACATTCCTACCATGCAACCTTAATCACGAATATAAAGGCCAATTTTACAAGGTTTGAGCCTCAAATTCACATAATTCCATCTCATAACTCAACTCATATCAAACTCACTTCATAACTTTAAAGCTCTTGTAAACTAGTTTCCATATCATTTTGGATTATGCATGCATGTGAAGTATAGGCCTCATTTTCAACTTTAACACAATTGATGATCATCTTCATGGGATTCATCATTATCATGCTTGCATGTGCCAAATGGCATTCAATTCATCATAAAATGCATGCTTATATTCAACTATGCAAACTCATGGCAATTCTTTAGATGCATGTACATATCAACTTCAAATTTATCATATTCAACTCAATTCATGTTCTTGATTACAATTTATCTTTAAATTCATATAATTACAACACGAATACATGAATTCATATCAAATTACTCACCTAGAGGCCCCAATCTTCACAAATGTAGTTAAATCTTGAGTGTGGCTTCCAAATTCACAAACTTTGAGCCAAAATGCACAATTCTTCCTTTTCCTCTCTCTAGAAACGGCTCTCTCTCTCTCTCTCTAGAGTGTGATTTTTAGATTTTGAGTTCAAAAGGAATGAGGTTAAGTGTAATAAGGCCCTTATATATGCTTGCCTAATCAAATTTGATTAAGTTTAAGTAATAATACTCTAATTTAATCATTCTGAATCTAATTATTTTGATCCGAATCAATTTCCAATTAAATTTCACCATAGGCTCTAAAAATTAGCTAATCACAATGGCGTAGTCAATTTCAGTTTCTGATGCCTCTACGGCCTTCAATTTAATTTCTAAAGCAGAAAATCAAACAGATTTTCCTACGGTGAACAGATAGAAATACAAAGACACATATAATCACATAATTACTACCCAAAACCATATTAAGCATATAATCACAATCATAATTAAGGACAATTAGCATATCACAGAACAGGGTCATCACACCTAAACCCTAAACCTTGAATCCTGAATCCTAAATCCTAAATCCTAACGATTAAACCCTAAATCCTAAACCCCAAATCCTAAACCCTTAAAACCTAAAACCCTAACCCCAAAACTCTAAAATCCTAAATCCTAAACCCCAAAACCCAAAATCCAAAACCTTAAACCCTAAATCTTAAATCCAAAACCCAAAATCCAAAACCCTAAAACCCTTAAACCCTAAATCCTAAACCCTAAACCCTAAATCTTATATCCTAAACCCTTAACCCTTAACACTCAACCCTCAACCCTTAAACCTCAACACTCAACCCTAAATCATAAACCCTAAACCCTAAATTCTAAACCCTAAACCCTAAATCATAAACCCTAGACCTTAGACCTCAAATCCTAAAACCCTAAAACCTAAACCCTAAATCATAAACCCTAAAAACCCTAAACCTTAAATCTTAAACCTTATACCTTTAAAGTTTACACCTTAAACCCTAAACCCTGAACCTCGAATCCTGAACCCTAAACTCGAATCCCTAAATCCTAAATCCTAAATCTTAAACCCTAAATCCTAATCCTAAACCCTAAACCCTAAACCGTAAATCCTAAACCCTCAGCTCTATACCCTAAATCCTAAATTACCCTAAATAACCCTTAACCCAAAATCCTAAACCCTAAACCCTATATTCTAAACCTTAACCCTCAACACTCAACCCTCAAACCTCAACCCTCAATCCTAAACCATAAACCCTAAATCTTAAACCCTAAATCCTAAACCCTAGACCTTAAATCCTAACCCCTAAAAACCCTAAACCCTAAATCATAACCCTAAAAACTAAATCCTAAACCCTATATCCTTAAACTCTAAACCCTAAACCCTAAATCGTGAACCCGAAACCCTGAACCTTGAATCTCAAGCCCCAAACACTAAATCCTGAACCCGAAACCCTGAACCCTAAATCCTAAATCTTAAACCCTATTGAATCCTAAACCCTCAACCCTTTACCCTAAATCCTAAGGTGCTGTTTGGTAACACTTACGCTTTCAGTTTTCTGTTTATATTTACAAAAATTTTAAAAATTCAAATAAAAACTTGTTTGGTAAAATTTTTGATTTATAAATCAGTGGTCTCAGTTTATAAATTTGGCCAAAAAATGAAAACACAAAAAATGTGTTTCCATTTTGAATTTTCAGTTTTTTTTTTTTTTTTACCACCCAACACTAGCCACCACCCACCACTACTTTCCACCACCGTCTTCCGCCCACCACCACCCGCTACCACCACCACCACCACCACCACCCACTCGCTACCACCCGCCACCATCACCCACCCACCTGCTACCGTCACCCACCACCCACCGTCACCACTTTCTACCACCGTCTTTCGCCACCACTTGCCACCACTTGCCATTTTTCACTCTTTTTTATATTTTTAAAATTTTTTAAACATTTTGTCATTTACCAAACATGTTTGTAGTTTATATTTTTCTAAAAATAAACAAAAAATAAACAAAAACCAGTTTATAAAATTTTTATAAATATAAACTGAAAACGTAAACGTTACCAAACACACAATAAATAACCCCAAATAACCCTTAATTCAAAATCCTAAACCCTAAACCTTATATCCTAAACACTCAACCCTCAAACCTCAACCCTAAACTATAAATCTTAAATCCTAAATCCTAAACCCAAAATCCTAAATCCTAAACCCTAAACCCCAATCCTTAAACCTTAAACCCTAATTCCTAAATTGTAAAACCTAAACCTTAACCCTTAACCCTAAACCCTAACCTCTAAACCCTAAATCCTAACCCTCAAATCCTATATCTTAACCCCTAAGCTCTAACCCTAAATCCTATATCCAAAAACCTAAATCGTAAATCCCAAATCTTAAATTCCAAAACTCAAAACCCTAAATCCTATACTCTAAATCTTAAGACCCTAAAACCCTAAACCTAAACCCTAAAACCCTAGATCCTAAACCTTAACTCTAAAACCTTGAAATCTTAAACCCTAAAATCTAAATCCTAAAACCCTGTATCCTAAACCCGAAATCTCAAATTCTAATTCCCAAATCCTAAATCCTAAATTGAGGGATGTATAAGAAAGAAATAGAGAAGGATTGAGAAATTTGTTAATTATCTGTTTTCAAAAATTTTCTTCGGTTATTATTTTGTTTTCATCTCATATGGTTTTTTTTTTTTTTTTTTTAATTCTCCCTTTAATCTGAGGGTATTTTTGATATTTTGGCTGGTGGTCCAATTTTTTAATTTTGACTTCTTTTTTTTTTTCCCCAAAACCATTTCTGCTCTGCAAACCAAAGTGGGTCTAGAAGCTGGTGATGACGACGACGGCCTCGACCGCGACGAAGACGATGATGAAGATAAGGATCTTCGTTGGGAGTTCCACCGTTTTTTCCGTATCAATTGTGAAATTATTGTTATTGTTACTGTTCGTAATATCTGTTTGTACTAGTAGTAGAACAACGACTTGCGTGGCTGCAAGTGGTGGTGGTGGTGGTGTATTCAGCGTAAGTTACAAATTCGCCGGCATGGAACGCTCCCTCAGTGCCCTAAAAGCTCACGATAACCTCCGACACCTTACTATGCTTGCCGGCGTCGACCTCCCCTTGGGCGGAACTGGCCGCCCCGACACTGTCGGGTAGGGGTCACTACCACCTCAATACTTTTATAGATGAATTAATCAATATATGCATCAATATAAAGTTTCTGTTGATGTTTTTTTATTTTTATTTTTCTGTTGTTGTGTAATTCCTTTAATTGAATGAGTTCATTGTTTGCTCTGATTATAGAATTGTTTCTTCAGAATCACTTGCTTATCGTTATAGCGTAAGGCAAATTTCATGGTTTTTTTTTTTCTTTTTCCCCTATTGTTTTTGTTATTTTTATTTTAGTTTTTCTGTATTGAGGTTCTTATAATTGATTTCCAAGTCTAATTTCCTCTTGACAATTGTGTATATGTGAAAGGAGTTTGTTGGTCTTCCTGCAGTATGTAGCACATGATTGACTGATTCAATTAATATCATGAGTTGTACCTGTCATAGTTTCAAGTGAGTCTTGTTCCAATTCCAAGGTTTCATCTCTGCATGCTGTATATGACAGTGAAAACATATGCAATTTGTTAGTCTGTATGGAATTTTCCGTTCAATTTTAGTGAAATGGCTGTATAATCTTACCTGCCCATTTTAATTTGCTGGTGCATGTGCTATTCTATTTCCTTTTTTCCACTTGCTTTCTTGTAAAATTTGAATTATTGCAGGCTCTACTATGCTATGATTGGGATTGGAACACCTTCGAGGGACTACTTTGTGCAAGTAGATACTGGAAGTGACATAATGTGGGTCAATTGCATTCAGTGCATAGAGTGTCCCAAAAGAGGCTACCATGGTGTATGGCTCTTGTTACCTTTCTTTATGATTCTCTTTGTTCTTGGTATTAGCATCTTCTTCAGTACTCACAAGAATTCATTTCCTTGACGATGATTTTTGAGACATTTCCATAATTTGTTTGGTTCTCTAACAGCTGGAACTTACCCTATACAATCCCAAGGACTCTCTCACAGGAAAATTGGTCTCTTGCGATCAAGAGTTTTGCTTAGAGATCAATGGAGGTCCAGTATCAGGTTGCATGGCTAATGTATCCTGTTTGTATACTGAGGTATATGGAGATGGAAGCTTTAGCATTGGGTATTTTGTAAAAGATGTTGTCCAATATGATGGAGTGTCTGGAGATCTCCAAACTAAATCTGCAAATGGAAGTGTTATATTTGGGTACGCCTATGTCTCGATAAGTGTAGTTTGATCTTATGAACATTGTATATATGTAGTTTTTATTTATATTTCGTCTATTTGTATGGATATATTAATATCTAATATGTCCGTTAGTTTGATAATTGAGCTTCTTCACATGCAGTTCATTATTATGGTATTTGTACTTTACGTACTTGACAAAAAATTTGGAATTTTCGGGGGATTCTAGAATCATACTTGATGTTCTAATTAAATACCTCCCCATGCCATTGCACATGCTTTTAGTATTTGCAAAATCTCCATGCATACATGGTGGAATTCGTGCTACTAAGTAAATTCTTGCCATTCCTTTTTCTCTTCCTAATATTTCATTGGACAAATTACAACAAAAAAAAGAAAAGAAAAGAAAAAAAACCCTAGAGTTTGACCCTTTTAACAAATCAAACCCTCGGTTTTTAATTTTTTTCAATTTGAGCCTTGAGCTTTTACTTTTGTCACAATCTCAACCGTCTGTCTATCTCTGTTAGCTTGGTTGATAGAAGCAAATTTTTAGTACACACCTATCACTTTTAAATTGGCTCATTTAACTCAATATTAATAATAGATTTGAACTTGAACACGTTAGATCAATTCCACCATTTATTTGTCATCCATTAATCAAAGCCATTCATCATAAATTTACCATAACTCATCTCTACCAAACAACCATTCCTCCCATTTCTTTTCCTGTTACCGGCAACCATCACTGTCCCTCTTCCTCCCTCCTTCCCCTTTCTCACTGCCACCTATCGAGATCTTTCTTCTTCCGGTGATAGGAACAACAACAATAAAGCTCATTGGAGTCATGGTGGTGGACAGAGGTGAAGAGAGGGGATGACGAATGGATTGGAGGAGAGGTGTGGCTGTGGAAGATGGTGGGTGATGGATCCAATGAATGAAGTGAAGGATCTGAGGAAGGGGTAGCGGAGGTGGTGGATCTGAAGAATATGTTTCAGATCTAGTGGAGGAAGTAACAAATCTGATGATGAAAAGAGTGGCAAGCCACTCTGTTATCTTCTGCAATATATATATACAAATGCACTGGTGTTAATTATAGTTTGTTAAATTAATTAGTGCTGGATATATGTTGGATATTGGTAATTGGCGGGACGGGATGCTTCGAAGATTGTTAAGTATGTTTAGGCTTGGAAGCTTCCATGGGAAAAATTTGGATTGAAGCCATATCACTCATTTAAAGAAAATTGCGTATTTTGTCTGATGGCAAAGGGATTGGCCGGGGAAGTCATGAATGATCTGATGAAATAGGTGTGAGTGTGGCGGTCTAAATGAGGTCTAGTGGGGCCACCGTTGCTGATGCTGATAGTTGCCGGTAGTGAGTGGGAAAAGGAATCGGTTTGAATAATATTATAATTATATATGTATGTTTATATATATACATATATATTAAAAAATGGTGAGTGGAATTATTAAAATATTATTTTATTAGTACCGTTAAACGGAAAGAAGTTTCGCTTAACAGAGGTAGACGGAAGATTGAGATTGTGACAAAAATAAAAGGTCAGGGTTCAAATTGAAAAAATTAAAAATTTGGGGTTTGATTTGTTAGAAGGGTCAAACTCTGGGGTTTTTTTTTTGTTCATTTTTGTTCATTTTTGTTAGAAAGGTCAGGGTTCATTTTTGTTCATTTTTGTTCTTGTTGGTTGCTCCACATATTACTCCTTTAGGATAATAAGGCTAACAAGCAAGCTATTTCTTATAGGTATTAATGTATTGAAATTGGTTAGCATAAGAATATTTACACTTTATCTTGCTTATTGCATTGTAAAAGTTGGAGATATTGGAAGTTATTGGTTGCAATTTGTATTGGATGCTTAACTCTAATGTTTGGTGGACTTTCCATTTTTCTTGCATTCTCCTCAAAAGATTTATTCTTATTGGTGCACGTACACTGCATGACATATGATTCATTTGGAAAAAATTATGGATTAATTTAAATGATGTCATTGGATTTTCCTTGTTAAGGCATTTCTTATCCAACAAAAACTTTCTTTTTTGAAAAAAAAAAGAAAAAAAAGAAAAGAAAAAGGGAAAGTGGTCCACGGCCATCACTTTAGAAATTTCAATGATAGGATTATTGATGTTTCATGGATGGGTTTGATTCGGCCTCTGAGGCATCATGTGTCTTGCTAAAAGCTCACTTTTTCTAAGATTGGTCTAGGCACATATGTTACATGGACTTTTCAAAATAAATCAAGTACCCGTGTCAACACCTGACACTTGGTCAAAGGTATGAAATATGTGTCTGATACTTTTTATCTAACACTTCTTATATATTTGTATTTTGCACCATCATTATATGTATATATTATTATATAATTGCTATAATTGATGATGTTACATGCATCATCAATTTATCTCATATGATGGATTAAAAATATAAATATATTACCATTCTTTGCCGAGTCTGCATATCCTTAAATTTGAGGTTTGACAAGTCCAACCTCTAGATACACACCCATGCCCAACACCTATACCCGAGTCCATGTCAAATAGCACAACCTACCTTGACGAATGTTTTGGAGAGAGAGGCACCTAGACAAACCCTTGAACTTTAGTCTTTAACCCACAAGTTTTCTTGTGATCCTAATAAAATGTACCTAGGTCTTGCTCCCAATCTAGTTGGTGCATATGGAGTGCTTTAGATGGTAAACTGAGGCACCTATTGGTGGAGATATAAGCAAGGCAAGCAAACGAAGTGGATGCTATGTAGGCAAATTGGCGAGGGTGTGCTTAGGTGGATGATTCATGGTCGAGTGTCACAGGATGACTCTTTGGCATAGCATAACTTTGTCTCACATGGCCCTTGAACTCCAAGTCGAATCCGGCCTAATTTTTTTGACCATCCAAGTATTGAAGATTGCACTCATCTTAGCTTTACCAAACTCACTAGTTGTCAACTTGCCAATGAGAACAACCCCTACAAAGAGTCTTTGCCACTTGAAGACTCCACATCTCAAATGCACGAAGCACGATGGTTTTACTTAAGGTTTTTTCCAACAATGTTGGGAAGTGTTCAAGGGAGATGTGATGACTATGTTTAGACAGTTCTTTCGAACTAGGTGTTTTGAAAAGACTTTTAATGACTATGTTTAGACAGTTCTTTCAAACTAGGTGTTTTGAAAAGAGTTTTAATGCGACGTTTGTTGCTTTGATCCCTAGGAAATGGGGGGCTTTGGATATTTGGGAATTTCGGCCGATCAGTTTGTTTGGGAATGTATATAAGCTTTTGACCACGGTTTGGCTAGGAGGCTAAAAGGCACTCTTCAATCGGTAGTTTCAAAATCTCAGAATGCTTTTGTAGTAGGTCGCCAGATTTTGGATGCAATTTTGGTGGCAAATGAGTGTATTGACTCTCGAATCCAAGAAGACCGGCCAGGTGTTATGTGCAAGCTTAATATTGAGAAGGCTTATGATAATGTGGATTGGGACTTTTTGTTCTCTGTGTTAGAGAAAACAGGCTTTGGTGGGCAGTGGATTCGGTGGCTATGTTTTTGTATCTCTACGGTTCGAATGTCAGTGTTAGTGAATGGGACCCCGATGTTTCTTTCAGACCTTTCGTGGTTTACACAAAGGCGATCCCTTGTCACCTTTGCTTTTTATCCTTATGATGGAGGCATTGTGCCTGTTTGGTGCAGTTTAAAAGCTGCTTATTTCAGCTTTCAGCTTAATTTAAGCTATTTTGATGTGTTTGGTTTAACTTAACAATGCAGCTTATAGCCTTTTGTAAGTCAGAAATCCGCTTATTCTTTGAGTGGGGCAGGAGATGCTTAATTTATAAGTCAGAAATCAGCTTATGTTCATAGTTATAAGTTATAAGCTGTTAAGGCATAAGTTATAAGCACTTTCCCACAGCTCTACCAAACAGGGCCATTGAGTAGGTTGTTATCTAGAGCAATGCATAGGGACTTGTTGGAAGGTTTCAAGGTAGGTATGGAGGCGGAAGTTCCTTTGGTGGTGTCTCATCTTTTATATACGGAGTATGGGATGGAGTGGTGTGGAACTGGTACAGCGACGATTGATAGGGTGGATGCGTTAGTATTTGTCCAAAAAGGGGAAGTTGACATTGATCAAGAGAACGTTAGGGAGTATTCTTACGTATTTCATGTTGGTGCACGTTATCCTAATGTCGGATGCACATCGTTTGGAAAAGTTGTAGCATGATTTCCTTTTGGGAGTGGGGAAGGGGGGGGTTAGGTTGTGATTTTAAGTTTCATTTGGTTGATTGGGATAAGGTGTGTAGCCTAAGAGAGGGGGGTGGTTTGGGGTTGAGGAAGTTGGTGGTCTTTAATAAGGCGTTGCTGGGGAAGTGGTTGTGGCGATTTGTGGGGAAAATGGAGAGGCTTTGGCGTCAGATTATGGATATGAAATATGGTCTAGTTGGGGAGGTTGGTGTTCTTGGGAAGTGTGGGTTGCTCATGTACGGGGTTTGTGGGAAGGTATTAGGTTAGATTTGAAGGAGTTTTGGAGGTGGGTTAGCTTTCGGGTGGATAGAGGTGTGCGGGTGCGATTCTGGAAGGACGGGTAATGTGTGGACCAAACTCTTGTGTCTCGATTTCTGTTGTTGTTTTGTCTTGCAATAGATAGGGATGTTGTGGTAGTTTCTTACTTGTCTTTAGAAGGTGAGCAGACGGTGTGGGATGTTAGGATTCGTAGGCAAGTCTATGATTGGGAGGTTGCCCAATTGGTGGATTTATTGGGTTTACTGTATGGTGCTTGAGGGTTGCTTTGGGAGAGCATGGGATGGTGTAGAGTTGTAAGGGTGCTAAAGGGATTTTCTCGGTGTCCTCTTTTTATTAGACACGAGTGGGCCTTTCATATGTTTCTTTCCCTTGGTAGAGTGTGGGTTGCTTGTGTTCCATCCAAAGTGGCGTTTTTTGTTTGGAATGTTGTGTGATAGGGTTTTGATTCTAGATAACTTGATTAGCCGTTGTCAGAATTTGATTAATTAGTGTTGTATGTGT